GCTGCAGTGAGCTATGATGATGCCACTTGGAATCCAGCCTGGGCAACAGAGCGAAACCCTGTGTCAAAAAGAAAACAAAGGCCTGGTGCGGTGGCTCACATCTGTAATCCTAGCACTCTGGAAGGCCGAGGCAGGTGGATTGCTCGAGGTCAGGAGTTCGAAACCAGCCTGAGCAAGAGCGAGACCCTGTCTCTACTATAAATAGAAAGAAATTAATTGGTCAACTAATATATACAGAAAAAATTAGCTGGGCATGGTGGTGCATACCTATAGTCCCAGCTACTCAGGAGGCTGAGGCAGCAGGATCGCTTGAGCCCAGAAGTCTGAGGTTGCTGTGAGCTAGCAACCTCAGATGGCATGGCACTCACTCTAGTATGGGCAACAAAGCAAGACTCTGTCTCAAAAAACAAAAAGAAAGAAAGAAAGAGAGAAAGAGAGAAAGAAAGAAAGGAAGGAAGGCAAAAAAAGAAAAAGAAAAGAAAAGAAAATCCAAACCATAACAATGTTTAAAGTATAGAAAGTGAGATTGCTTCTCCTACATCAAAAGTTAACTTTACACTCATCTATGAAACTACAGCCAAAAGTGCTGTATAATTTCTAATCTCTAGGTAAGATTAAATACTTGAACCAGATTAAAAATTGGAGCCCAGATTTATGGGTTCAGTTGGGAGCTCAACTTTCAGTGTCTCCTGGCCTGAACTAGCACTGCCCTGCTAAGTGAAATGGGATCTTAATCTGCTAGGTGTTCTAAACCTGTGAAAACTACAGTCCCTAAAATGTACTACCACAGGGTTTCCTGCCTAATAGGGAAAGGAAATGGGGGGGGGTGTTTCTATGGAAAAAATTAAAAATTCCACATTTATATTAATAACTAACAGGTGCATGCCACCATGCCTGGCTAAATTTTGTATTTTTTGTAGAGATGGGGTGGGGTATGTCTCACTGTGTTTGCTCAGGCTGGTCTCAAACTCCTGGTCTCAAGTGATCCTCCCATTTCACCCTCCCCAAATGGTGGAATTATGGGCATGAGCCCTGGAACAGACCAGTTTACAGTATTACTGGCAGATTTATGAATAATGTTTCTATAATCTTGTACAAGTGTCTTAAACTAGTAAATGCAACTATGTATCACCCCAAATGTCAACAGTATAAACTGAATTGACATAATATGTGAAGTTGTGTCATTTCAGGACTTTTTGTAACAATTTGTAACTGCTGTTTCTTATTGCATAAATGCCACTAAGTAGCCACTATGTGGCTACTTTAGCAACCAAGTGGTGGTGTTAGGTAGATAGTGAGGGATTCCCGGTCTCCTAGGGACAAAAGTGGGGGCTGTTGTCTTGGTGCAATTGCCCCACCTGGGAAGAAGGACAAGGGTGGGTGCCACGCCCCCATCTTTGTCCTGCCCCATCCTAAACCTCTCCCCAGGGACTGCCATACCTGGGGCAGGCGGGAATACTATGAATAGGCCAATGATAACTTAGTATGCCAGATATAAAAGAATGCACAGGACTCTCTAACCCATGGGCCAAGCTGCATATGTACTATAGAGGCTGGAATTGACCTAGAGTACCCCTCATGCTAGTAAGACTCGGGTCATGCAACTCACAACTGTCCAAAGTCGTTGCCTGGTGACCTCTGAACCATAATGGAGGTCCCTATCCAGGCACTACAAAGCAATGTGTAGACTATAGCCAGCCCCTTTTTTTGGCCCCCTTCCTTTTGCTTTTTTCCTGCTGCGACAGTGGGTCTATTCGTCATCTGTATCACACTCTGTATACCTGTATTGCTCTTGCCCTATAATCCTATCTTCCTCTCCTCAATAAACCTCATTTTCATGCTTGCCTTACTTTAGTGTGTCTGGTCATTGTTCAGCCATGAGCGCACCAAGAACCAACATTTCAGACTGAAACCTGACAGTGGCCAAGAAGCCAAGGAAATGGAAGCATATGTGATATACAGCTGGTGTATACAATGGTTAAGGGAGGACATTTGAAAATAAGAAAAAATTGCTATTTCTAATTTAATAGAACATTTATCTCCATAAGCATTAATGGGAACATGTATAAAACTACAAAATATGTTGTCCCCTGGAAATTTTTCCTTTAGTGTCTGTTTCATCTTATTACATCTCAAAAAGGCTCTTTCCACAGGTCCACTGCTAAGTGCTATTTTCATAAACCTTTTTATTCTTGTCATCTAATCGCCTACTCCCTGACAGGTAAACTGGACAAACAGATGTGGCTCCCTTTTATATCGCCTTGTTCTTTTCTTTTCTTTCTTTCTTTCTTTTTTTTTTTGAATGTTAAACATTATTATTACTTTATAGCTTTTTAAAACATTAATGCATAATCAAGTTGTTTTCATTTTTGGCATCATACAAATAACGCTGCAATGAATATCCTTGTACAGATATTTTGTATAGATTTATCCTATTCTCAATCTACTCTTAGTTATTCAGCACCTACTATGTTCTAATCATAGTTCCAGGCACTGGATACAGCAGTACTTCAAATATAATTTTTTTTTTTTTTAAGACAGAGTCTTGCTTTGTTTCCTAGGATAGAGTGAGTGCCGTGGCGTCAGCCTAGTTCACAGCAACCTCAAACTCCTGGGCTCAAGCAATCCTGCTGCCTCAGCCTCCCGAGTAACTGGGACTACAGGCATGCACTGTGAGGGGTCAAGACATTGCATACCTGCAAGGCCCACACCCCCAGTGAAGCCGGAACTAACATCCTCCTTTTGGAAACCGTTGCTTGCTTGCCATGGAAACCGTTGCTTGCTTGCTTGTTTGCGCCAACTTTGCATTGATTGAACCCCTGTATAGTGGGGCTACCAGCCAACCAATCATGTTAAAGGTCAATGCATGATCCACGCGTGATCAGCCACTGCATAGCGTACGCACCATAGGGATAAAAGGCACGCTGCAACCCCAGTCGGGGTCCTTGCCTGCAAGAGTGGCCACTGCGTTGGTGCTCTAGGGCTTGGACCCTGGCTAGCCAGAAAATAAACCTCCTCTTGTGTAATTACATCCTTGATGTCTCTGCTTTTCTGTCCGGTGGGGCTGTGGAAGGTCGGTCCCTAACAGCACCACCATGCCTGGCTAATTTTTTTCTATATATATTAGTTGGACAATTAATTTCTTTCTATTTATAGTAGAGATGGGGTCTCACTCTTGCTCAGGCTGGTTTTGAACTCCTGACCTTGAGCGATCCACCCACCTAAGCCTCCCAGTTCAAATATAATTTTTTACCCCAGTGGAGCTCACTTTCTGGTGGGAGGAGAGAGAAGAGTTAAAATAAGTGAAAAATATGGTAGATGGTGATTAGTACTGTGGAGATGTACAGGAAATTTTGAGGAGGAGGTTTAATTGTAAATAGGACATTTAAGGGAAGGCCTCACTGAGAAAGTGCATTTCTGTGAAAACATGAAGGAAGATGGAAACAAATCATATGAATATCTGAGGGAAGAGGATCCCGGATACAGGGAATAAGGCGTGCAAATGCCCTAAAACATGGTCTCATCTGTGGTTTCAAGAGACTTTTCAGGATTGGCAAGAAGTCCAGTGTGGCTAAAATCCAGAGAGGGAGGAGAAAAGTCATAGGAGATGAGGTCAGAGCATGGAAGGCCTTATCAGCCATTGTGAGCATTTTGGCTTTGACTCTGAGGTAAAGTGGGTATCTTTGGGAGGGTTTTGAGTAATAACAGGAAGTGATTTACGTTTTAAGAGGGTCACTCTGGCTAGTGTATTGAGGATAACCTGAAGGAAGGTAAAGGAGGAAGTAGAGACTAATTAGATTTTTTGCAGTTATTCTGGAATGTTTGGGACAGGATTAAGGATGTGGTGATGATGAGGGGTTGTTGAATTCTGATTCTATTTTGAAGGTAAAGTGGGTGGGATTTTCTAAGGGATTGTATGTGGGGTGAGAAAGGGAGAAATTAAGGATATCTCTTAGATATTTGACCTATATAACAGGAAGAGTAGAAGAGCCATTAACTGAAATAAGGCAGACTGTGGGAGGAACACAGCTGAGTATGAGGGTTGAGATCAGGAGCTCAGTTTTGGTCCTGTCACGTTTGAGATTTCTATTAGACATCCAAAGTGAAGATCTTAAGTAAGCAATTTGAGTCTCCAGTGCAGGAGAATGATCTGAGATGGCAATACAGATTTGGGAATCATCCACATACAGATAATATTTAAAGCCATTGAACTGAGATCACCTAGGAAGCTAGTATAAATAAAAAGATTAGAGGGTTAGGCCTGGAGCCCTTAATTTTTGGCATTCCAGGATGTAATGAGAAAATAGCAAAGGAGACTTAAGTGGCAAGTGAGGTAGGTGGAAAATCAGTATGGTGTAGGAGAAGTGAGGAAACTTGAGGAATGAGACCAATCCTTTGGACTTACATTGTGGAGCTCATCGGTGACCTTGAGTAGAAGTTTTGTTAGGATGTTGCCGGGTGAAGCCTCGACTGGTATGTTAGGGTTCTCCAGAGGAACAGAACCAATAGGAGACAGACAGGTAGATAGATGAGAGGGGATTTATGAGGGAATTGGCTCACATGTAAATGGCTTTATTCTTGAAAAGATGCTCTGAACTTTCTTTATATTGTAAGTTCTGGCATGTGCTTACATTTTCCCGGAGATGTCTATAACTTTCAAAGGTGTTAAAACGGATTGGTGACCCCAGAGAAAGGACCACTGCATTAAGATAAGCTATCATGCCTGGGTGGGGTGGCTCACGCCCATAATCTCAGCACTTTGGGAGGCGAAGGAGGGAGGAGGGAGGATCACTTGAGGCCAGGGGTTGGAGATCAGCTATCCTCTGCCACGTGGAACCACGGGCGCTGGCTTCTCCGCTATGCTGGCCTGGGGCTGCGCTCCCGGCGCCCTCCCGCACAGTCCTCCGAGTCGCGGCACCAGCAGGGGTCGCTACTTCGCCGCCACCGCCGCGCCTGCGCCCCGCTAGGCCCGCTCTGGCCGCGCCGGCGCCGGCGGAAGGGGCGGGGCCGGGGGCGGGGCGACCAGAGGCCTGTAGACGGCGCGGCCGCGGGGAGCCACGAGAGACCCTGTGGTCCAGGTGAGTGCGCCCCTGCCGGCGCGCCGCGACGCGCCTGGGCCCTCGCCCCTCTGCTGCCTCGTCCCGCGCTCCTGTGGAACTGGAGCGGGAGCCCCTCCGCCCGCCCACTCCCCTGCCCGGTCTCCGCGTGAGTCCCCGTGGTCCTGCCGAGCCCCGCCAGCCTTGGGACGCCCCCGCAGGGGCTGTGGGGAGTGGGTGGGGTAAGGCTGGCTGTCCCTGGGCCCAGTCGCTTCTGCTGGCTCCCGACGCAGGCTGGGAACACTGAGATGTAGCTGTCCGGTTTCCTTTGACCTTGGGGAGCCGGGAAGGTGCGCGGCCCGCCAGGGTGGGGAGGGAGCGAGGGGAACCCGACCCTGCCTCGGGCCGCCAGCCTCTGGGGTCTGCAGAAGGAAGGGGGATTTGGCAGCAATAGGCCGCAAAGCGTTTAGACCAAGTTCTGCATCTTACGGAGCAGTGGACAGGCTCAGGAACGGGAAGCGGTTCCCAGCGTCAAGCAGGTCAAGGACAGCCTTGTCTCTGTATCCCAGACATGGCTTTTCTGACAGTCTTCCGTTATTTTGTGCCTCTCCTGAAGATAATCATCCAAGGCCTCCTGTGGGCTGCTGGTCGTGATCAGCCCCCTAGGCATAGTCTTACTACTGCCACAGACATCTTTCAAATTGCACTCTTACCACTTCCGAACTTAAGGTCTTTTGATAGCTCCGGTGCTGTCTGGGTCAGGTCCACACTTGGATGTACAAGAGCCTTGGAGATCTAGCTCCTTGCCCATCAGTCCAGTTTTGTCTGTTTCGTGGTTCATTCTCGTGCATCAGTCCTGAGCTACTTTCATGCCACAAGTTGTTGTGGTTTTTTTTGAGACAGAGTCTCACTCTGTTGCCCAGGCTAGAGTGTCAGCCTCGCTCACAGCAACCTCCAACTCCTGGGTTCAAGCGATCCTCCTGCCTCAGCCTCCCGAGTAGCTGGAACTACAGGCATGCGCCACTATGCCCTACTAATTTTTTCTATATATTTTTAGTTGTCCAGCTAATTTCTTTCTATTTTTATTAGAGACCAGGTCTTGCTCTTACTCAGGCTGGTTTTGAACTCCTGACTTCGAACAATCCTCCCACCCCGGCCTCCCAGTGCTAGGATTACAGCCGTGAGCCACCGCACCCAGCCCACAAGTTTTTAATCACTTAACATGTGCTAGACACTACTCTGGGCACTGGGAGTTCACAGAGGAAGAAAATATGAAGATTCCTACTCTTAGGGAATTTGTAATCTAGTGGGGGAAACAGGCAAACAAAACACCCAGTAAATTGTGTAATATGATAGCAGGTAGTAAATGCTATGGGGAAAAGAAAGTAAAGCAGGGTAAGGGGGATTTAGAGGACAAGATGGAGTTAATAAATAGAGTTGGAATGGGTAGGCCTCATTGAGGTGATGTTTGATTTAAGACTCGAAGGAAATACAGAGTTCCCCAAGTGGATTTCTGGGGTAAGAGTGTTATTCCAGGCACAGCTGGAACAAAGGTCCCTACCCAGAAATGTGCCTGTGTGAGAGGAGCACAAAGGAAGCCAGTGTGGCTGGAGCTGAGTGAGCAAGGATGATTTTGGAGATGAAATGGGGAAGCCAAATCATGTAGTGTCTGTGGACCATGGTAGGGACTTTGCTTTTCTCTGAGTGCTTTTGTAGGGTTTAGAGCAAAGGAGTGACAACATGTAAATTACTTTTTAAAATATTCACTCTTGTTGCTCTGTGGAGAACAGTGTAACAGCCTTTGTGGCAACCCTTGTTATAGATGATGGTGGCCTGAATCTGTGGTAGCAGTGGAAGTGGCGAGACTCTGGACATGTTTTGAAAATACAGCCAACATGATTTTCTGACAGATATGGATATGCAGGATAGGATCAAGAATGATGAGCTTTTGTTCTCAGCAATTAGAAAGATGGGGCTACCATTAACTGAGATGTGGAAGGCTGCAGGTAGAGCAGGTTTGGGGTTGGAGCTGTATCAGGAGTTTGCTTTTGGGCCAATTAAGTTTGAGGTGCCTATTATGCACCCACATGGAGATGTCAAATGGGTAGTTGGATGTTGGGTGTCCCCAGGTTTGTTGACTAAGAGAACTCACAGACAGAACTCAACATATAATCATACTCATGGCTGTGATTTATTACAGCAAAAGGATACAGAGCAAAACAACCAAAGGGAAAAGGTGCATGGGACAAAGTCTGGAGGAAACCAGGCACAGTCTTTTAAGATTCCTCTCCCAGTGGAGTCACATAATGCTTAATTTCTCCAGCAACAAATTGTGACAAGACATGTGAGATGTCTATTAGGAAAGCTCATTAGACACTAAGTGCCCCAGGCTTTTATTGGAGGCTAATCATGTAGACACCCTCTGCCTAGAACTTAACAAAATTTCAGACTCCTAGAAAGCAAGGAGATATTCAGCATAAAAGCACATTGTTTGTACAAACAGTTTTAGGATAGCAAGCCACTCCTATCAGCTCTGGGAATGGTGCGAAATGGAGTAAGTCCAATTTCCCAGACACCAAGCAAGGGCCAACCTTGCAAGCAAGCTTTCCTAAGGATGGCAATCTCAGGCCTGCTTTGTTAACTCTTTTCTTCACAAGTCTGGAATTTGGGAGAAGGTTCTGGAATGGGGATATAAATCAGAGTTGGCCTATAAGTACAATTTGAAGCCATGGAAATGTCTGGTGTCTTGATAATGAATTTGTCAAAACTAGTGCACTTAGGAGCTGAGCTGGATGAAGCGAATGTAGAAGAGACGAGGATCAAAGACTGAGTCTGTGGGCCCTCCAGCATTAAGATGTCAGGGAAGAAGAGAAGGAAGCAGCAGAGAAGTCTTGAGAAGTCATAGCATGGGAGAGGTAGGAAGAAAACCAAGAGTAAGGTGTCCTGGAAGCTGAGTGAAAAGGAGGGGAGTGATCAGTTTTCTCAAGTGCTGCTGAGACATTAAATAAGATGAGTACTAACAAATGATCTTTTGGATTTAGAAAATCAAAGGAGAGAAATTGAGAGTATAGACAACACTTTTGAGAAGTTTTGTAAAGAGGAGCAAGAAAAGAGGTAGTACCTGGGAGGTAGTAGAGTTAAGAGGATTATTTATTCGCTTGCTTTTGAATGAGAGAAAAATAACAGTGGATGTTTATTCCAACAGCTAATGGAATAGTCCATTAGAAAGCAAAAAAAAAAAAAAAAAAATCACTGTTGTAACTTGCTGTTTCCCCATACATAGGTCAGTTTCAGGTCACCTTCGTTATCAGGACTCTCCAGAGGCATCCATGCTCTGGGCTTCAGCTTGTCTAGGGTCCAAGTCTGTGAACCTGCTTTCACTTGTGTTTTCTGACAGCAAGTTTCCCACGTTCTGGTTAGATGGCAGTTTCTTTAGTATACGGCTGTGTGTTTTATACCTGCGCCTAGCCAGGCACTTGACATATGTAGGCAAATGAGTGCAGGTGGATGTAGTAATTGGGTAGAATGCTCATTTCATGTCTAGAAAATGAATCTGCAGCTATTTGCTGGTTTTGTATGTGCTGAGCAGATTGGGGGTGAGAGTGAAGAATAGGGCATAATCTATGCCCTGTCACTACTACCCTTAAGGTTTGGGAGATGAGAACAGTCCACCTGAATTAATTAGAAAGTCACAAAAGACAGCTTTGGTGTGACCAGAGTCTGGGAGAGGGCATGTGATGCATGGGTTGGTGGAGGAGGAGAGTGGGGCTTGTGTGGAGTCTGGAAGAAGGGGGGGTCATGCCAAGAGGACAGAAACTGTTTCAATAGTAGAATCATCCCCCCCACACACACACACAAATAAACAAACTGTAAGGAACTCAGTATTCAACAGCACTGCTTCAAGTGAAGAGTTAGCTTCCTCCTCAGGTACCCCCACTCTCAAGTTGGGGGGCACTCCTATAACCAGTTTCAAAGTTCTGGGGCAGAACCTAGGTTCTCAAATGCCTCCTTTGTGGCCCTGAGGGTCCACTGCTAACATCTACAAATGGTCTTCATGTCCAGCAAAAATTAGGTTAGTGTTTTCTCAGTTTTATGTTTTTTACAAATTTTATGTAAACTTCCAGCATTTGCCAGTGTTTGCCAGCTAGAAAGGGAAGACAAAGAGAGGTAGCTAATAAACACAAAGGTAATACTTGGCTTGACATTTTGGTATGTTTGTTGTATTTACATGTGAATATGATTTTAAATAGCTATTTTTGCTAGTAAAGGTTTTCTAATGTGGGTAAACATAACTATTGCTGAGTTATATCTATGTTGCAGAGAGCAACATCATATCCAGGCATTCCTCAAAGGAAACATTGGTGTGGTATAAAACTAGGACTTTGGATGGGGAATGTGGACACCCAGGGACTAATATAGAGACAGGACTTCCCACCCCTAGCTATAGGCACTTCCCTCCCTCCCCCAGGGTGTCTCTTAGGATTTCTTCTGTGACAGTTCTTGCCACTCCTACCCCTGAAATTCTATTATTTTTGGTATTGCGGTAGGTGAAAGTTAGCTTTTGGTCAAGAAAAAATGAGAAAATAAATGTAATGGTATGGCAGAGCACTGAACTTAGAGTCAAGAGACTGACTGGCAACCCTCAGCTTTGGAGTTAGGGTGCCTCTGGGTTCAAGTGCAGTTAGTAACTGTGTGCCCCTGTAACTAAGATGGGCTTGTTAGAAGGAGTAAATGAGTTAATATGTGTAGAGCAGTGCCTGACCCTAAAAACTATAATCCTTGAGAAAACTTGACATTGGAATCCCAGCTCTGTCATTTTGTAGCTCTGTGACTTAGCAGTTTCTGAAGTTGCCCCAAATCTCATTTGCACTTATCCGCAGAACGAGGGACCTGCACAGAGTCATCCCTGAGAGGCTGCCATTTCATCTCTCCGGACACATGTGGCTCTGGGAGGGAGTATTGTTAATTGGGTGGAACATGCAGCCAGATCCTAAGCTCTGAGGCCTACATATGTCCTTTGGCATCATAGCTAATAGCAAAACTAACTTGCTAGGATCACCTGGACCAGTGTTTTCAAACTTTTCTGCAGTTATCCACAGTAAACACATTTTACATGGTGAGCCAGTGTGTATGCTTAATTGTAACAAAAGTTTCATGAAGCAGTATTTACTCTTGCTCTAAGTGATACACTGTAATATTTTCTATATTCTTCAGTTCTAGTTTTTAAAAAGTAAAAATTTTAATAATGAATCTAGAATTTAGGGCCAACACAGACTTCTAAAGCTGTCGATAGAGAGCTCTGACCACTTATGGCTAACCTTCCTGTATGTTTTGTGTGTGTGGGAAGGTATGAGAGGCTCTGCTTGTGAGTGAATTATTCTTCTTAAAATTTTACACTGTGAAGGATCTATGCCAAAATATTGACAGTGGTTATAGTAGAGCGAGTTATGGGTGGTTTGAATTTTTCAAATATTTTTTCAAATTCTCTCCAGTGAAAATATGCTTAGTTGTGACTTTTTGGGGAGCATCTAATATAAATATATTTTTAATGCCCCTGATATTCAGATAGTCTACTGGTTCCCAGCACTGGGCCACAGGCCTGTACCAATCTGGTAAAGTTTTCCCAGATCCTTAGTGGGAAAAAGAAAACAACAGTTGGCTTATAATGCTAAATTTATTCAATTTAAAGAAGTTTAATTCTGAGATTATGTCCTCTTTGGTCATTGAAATTTTTTTTTTAAGTCCACCATGAGGTTCCTTTAAAATATTTTTTTTTTATTGTGGTGATCAATGAAATACAAAATCTGGGAACTGTTGAAATATGCTGTTTTCTTCCTTTATTCCTGAGTGTGTAAAATTTAAGTTTCTTTGTATTAATAAGTATTCATTCTCTATTAAATTAGAATATGTGTAAAAGTAGTTTTTGGCAACATTTATCTTGAGGATACTTCAAGTAGATTCTAGAAATTATTTTAGAGTACTCTGTGGATTTTATAGTTGAAAAACAGTCCTTAAATTGAATCTGCCTTATTTCTCTGTTAAGATTTAGACTGGAGTCCCAACAGTGGTGAAGTAATAAGAGTTGAGCTTTTGTTGTCTGTTCATTCATGCCAGGAATATAAAGCCTAAAATGTAAGTTAGAAATAGGTCTGTGTTTTTGAGTGTGCCATACAGATAACTGCTGTTGTCTGCTTTGTGATTAATGGAAAGTAGGAAGAAAAAATCATGAGAATCATCTTCAAAGAAATCAGTGTTAAGGTATAACCTTGACAGAAAGGAAAGTCATTTGCTGACTCAAGGTAGGAAGATACTGACTATATGGAAACCCTTTTCTTATTACCAAATCCTGGTTTCTAAAACCATATTATACTTGAGGAAGTCTACCACCATCATAATAAGATGGTTTCTGCTGCATTTGAGGTAACTATAAGAATTGATTGCTCCCTGGCATGTTAGCACCTCAGTGCCTCAAAAAATAATTACCTAGTTTATCTCCAGGGTCTCAAGGCCACTGCTCTGCTAGCCAATAACTCAATTGAACAGTGGGAAAGAGATATAAAAGGAGGTAAAATGCAGATCTGGTCCAATTTGCTCATTCTTAACTCTGATTTGCTGTGGTTGGAAGTTGAAATAAAGTTTGGAGATTCACTCTGGGCTTTTTTGTTTGTTTGTTTTTGTTTTGAGACAGAGTCTTGCTTTGTTGCCCAGGCTAGAGTGAGTGCCGTGGCATCAGCCTCACACACAGCAACCTCAATCTCCTGGGCTCAAGCAATCCTTCTGCCTCAGCCTCCCGAGTAGCTGGGACTACAGGCATGCACCACCATGCCTGGCTAATTTTTTCTATATATATTAGTTGGCCAATTAATTTCTTTCTATTTATAGTAGAAATGGGGTCTCGCTCTTGCTCAGGCTGGTTTCGAACTCCTGACTTGGAGCAATCTGCCTGCCATGGCCTCCCAGAATGCTAGGATTACAGGCATGAGCCACCGCGCCTAGCCCTCACTCTGGGTTTTATGAAGTCATGATCTGGTGTCCTTCCTTGGCAAAGTCAGTGTTGTAAGGATGTAATTTAGGTTAATAAACAGTCTTACAGTCTTCTCTCCAGATGTTTTCTTTTTTTTTCTTTTTTAACAAGTCAGTGAGAACTAGTGATATTTTTCAGTAGCAATCAATACCCAAAGCTATTGAGAGGAAGGAAAAAAGTAAAACCAGTGCCTTCACACATATTAGTATCTCACTGGACCCTCACGACAACAACCCTAGTGAGCCAATAAGCATGTTAATTGCAGCTAGAAGACTCACCATGCCATAGTGTATGGCCCTTGGTACCTGCAGACCCATATGGCTTTTTGTAGGGGAGCATAAGTACAGTACTAGATATAAAATGTTCATGGTGTGTATGGTTTATGTTGTAAGAATGCCATACTGCACTTGTGAGATAAAACTGATTTATTATCTGTTTCAGGTTATATGCACCATGGCTATCACTAATGTCAGATTGCTTGATGGTATTTTAAGAAAGCCAGAAGCCTGGATTGGACTCTGGGGTGTGCTCCGACGGACACCTTCTTCACATAAACTCTGTACTTCCTGGAATCAATACTTGTATTTTTCAAGTACTGAGTTAAATGCATCAAATTATAAAACATTTTTCCATAATATTTTTTCACTGAGACTGCCAGGGCTTTTAATATCTCCAGAATATGTTTTTCCATTTTCCATAAGACTCAAAGGTAATATAAGCTCTAAAAAATCCACTAAAAAGTCTCCACAAAAAGTAGAAGATGAAGAGGACTCTGACGCAGAGGAGGATGACAACGAAATGAGTGAGATGGAAGAGGAGCTTGAGGATGACCCTAGTGTGGTCAAAGACTATAAAGACTTGGAAAAAGTAGTGCCATCTTTTCGGTATGATGTCATCCTGAAGACGGGCCTAGATGTTGGGAGAAAGTGAGTACGATATGCATTTTATTATATAATAAATTCACTTGTAGTATTGTTATTTTAATGCAGCATTAACAAATCACTCTGCCCACATTGTGGTGAAGAATAACTAGAGATGAAAAGACCTTATAGGTAACCTGTTTCAATTATTTCATTTTTATAGATGAGAAAACTGATTTCCAAAGGAGTCAGGTGACTGCCTGCAAATCCTATGTATCATATTATTTCCTTGAACCTAAGACACAGTTGACTATAAGATGAGCCACTGATTTAATAACAGCTTCTTGGGGAGAAAAGGACTCACCATATTAGATGTATATTGCAAGCATAAAATGCACCCGAATTTCACAAATGCTACAATGTGAGAAAGTACCTCTTAGAATTAACAGAAGGAATATGAGGTGGTGGTTAAGAATGCAGGCTTTGGAGCCATAGTACTGGGGTTTCATTCCTGGTTCTGGGTGTGTCTTTGGGCAAGTCACTTAAACTCTGTGTCTGTTTCCTCATCTGTAAAATGAGGATAATAACCTATTTTTGAGGGTGGATTCTAGGATTAAATGAGTATATATCGATCTAAAGCACTTTAAACAGTGTGTGGCACATTGTAGGTACTACATATATTGGCTATTATGAAGACAATACTGTGTGTTCATATATAATAGAGGTATTAAGTGTAACTTTTAAGATTTCTTTAATGTTCTCATTCTCTCTCTGGTAGACTAATTATATAAGAATAGTGACCTTCATTGTTCATTCCTTTAAGCAATTGGTATGTACATACTGCATACAAAGTAAGAATTGTGGTATGAATAAGTGCAGAGATTTCCTTGTGTGATTTGTATCTTTACAACCAAAACAAATTTTTTAATCTGTGAAGTTTAAGAGATCCATAAGGACTTTGAGTCATAGACCCCCCGCTTTTGGCATCAGGATTTGGTGAATGTTCTCTAAAATCTCATAAACTCATAAGAGGATCTCTCCTGTCTGAAGAGTAGCAGCTGCTGCTACTATTATTAAGCTGAACCCTAAATGATACTCACCTAGAGTCAGAGATCATCAAAAGGGAAGGGCACTGATTTTTGTCTGTATCCTCCCCCTCCCACCCATCTAGTTGCCCAGTGACTTAAACTCAGAGAGATCAGCAACTGTCAGATTGAAATTTCTCCAACCTTAGTACAGACTGGCAGAGGGTTTCTTAATGGGCCTTGCCATGTGTGTGTTGCCTGGTTCTTCTCTTAGAGCACAGAGCAGGTATCTGAGGGGAAGGGAATGCCCACTCACTTTGGCAGTCATGAGTCACCACAGCCTGGCCATGCAGTTTCTGCGCTGGGAATCAGGTGGAGCACCCAGCCCCTGTGCTGAGTGGGACTTAATGTACATGCCAGACCCCCTTAAAGCCCCATCTAAACTAACTTGCCCAGTGGTGCTAGCAAATCTTGGCAGCAGTTCAGCATCTATTCAGAAGTGTCCTTTGTTCTCCCTGTTTTAGATACCTGCTGGGGCAATTGACTTTCACTGTCCTGGTGCCCAAAATGGAGACTTTGTGGAGAGTCACTGTCAAAATAAGCATTAATAGCAAATGTTTTTCTCAAACTTGTATATAGTTGACCCTTGAACAACATGGGGATTAAGAGTACCACCCCTTCCCCCCATACAGTCAAAAAAGCCATGCATAACTTTTGACTCCCTCAGAACTTAACTACTGTGGACCACAAGCCTTACTGATAATAAACAGTCAATTGACACATATTTTTATGTGTAATATATTTTCTTACTATAAAGTAAGCTAGAGAAAAGAATGTTAAAAATCATAAGGAAGAGAAAACATTTACTTTTAAGTGGAAGTGGATCATCATGGAGGTCTTCATCCTCCTCGTTTTCATTTTGAGTAGGCTGAGGAGGGGTTGGTCTTCATGTCTGAGGGTGTCAGAGGAGGAAAAAAATCCACATATGAGTGGACCTGTACGGTTCAACCCACATCGTTCAAGGGTCAGTTGTAATCGGCTTTAATATATTTCTGTGTTTTAAAGCACTTTGCCCTTTTTTTTAATAGCAAAGTGGAAGATGCATTCTACAAAGGTGAATTGAGGCTGAATGGGGAAAAATTATGGAAGAAAAGCAGAACGGTAAGATATTAAATCTATAATGAGAGCCAAATATTTTTATCTGTTGCTCTAACAGTACTCATTTAAAATGCTGCCCCAAATTTCCCCTCACACTGCTTACCTTCTCTGAGGTCCTCTGTGGTCCTGGTCAACCTGGTGGGAATCAACAATAGGCTTTAGTCACATAGGCCCCTTGCACTTTTGCAATCTTAATGACCTTGTGATGAAGTTTCCCTCTTTTCTTTAAAATTTTAGGATAAACCACTATCGGGACTGACAAAAATCCATTAATTAATGTCATTAATGTTAGCCCCCATGGAATCAGGATAAGCAGATTACAAAGCTGGGTGTGGTGGCGCATGCCTGTAATCCCAGTACTTTGGGAGGCTGAGACAGGAGGATTGCTTGAGCTCTGGAGTTCGAGGCTGCAGTGAGTTCACTATACAATAGTGAATTACGCTATTGTACTCTAGCCTGGGTGACAGAGCAAGACCCCCTCTCAAAAAAAAAAAAAGATTACAAAGAAACATTTGATCCATGTAGAGGTGGTCTTTGAGCACCTGGTATTATCTGAGCAGATGTGTAATTTTATTCAGCTCAGGAGGACTAACTGAGCACTTGGAAGATGCAGTGCTCTGTGTGCAGGGCAACTATCAAAAAGAAAGTTATGTATTTTCTGACAATCCCATAATCAATATTGTTGAGTAAAAGAAGTCAGTTACAAGAAAATGTATTTCCGGGATCCACTTTTATAACAATAAGTCATATATAAGAATTTTGTTAAAAATATATCTTTGTCCAGACACAGTGACTCACGTCTGTAATCCCAGCACTTTGGGAGGCCAGGGCAGGAGGATCACTTGAGGCCAGGAGTTCAAGACCAGCCTGGGCAACATAAACCTTATTTCTACAAAAAAATTTTAAAAATTAGCTAGGTGTGGTGACATGTACCTGCCATCCTAGCTACTTGGGAGGCTGAGGTGGGAGGATTGCTTGAGCCCAGGAGTCCAGGGCTGCTGTGAGCTATGATCGTGCCACTCTAGCTTGGGTGACAAAGCTAGACTCTGTCTCAAAAACATATATAGGCCAGGCACGCTGGCTCACACCTGTAATCGTAGCTCTCTGGGAGGCTGAGGCAGGAGGATCGCTCAAGGTCAGGAGTTCGAAACCAGCCTTAGCAAGAGTGAGACCCCATCTCTACTAGAAATAGAAAGAAATTAATTGGCCAACTAAAAATATATAGAAAAAATTAGCCAGGCATGGTGGCACATACCTGTAGTCCCAGTTACTTGGGAGGCTGAGGTAGAAGGATCACTCGAGCCCAGGAGTTTGAGGTTGCTGTGAGCTAGGCTGACACCATGGCACTCTAGCCTGGGCAACAGAGTGAGACTTTGTCTCAAAAAGCCCCACAAAAAACATATAGGGGGGTGTGTCTGTATAAATACTTTTTTTTTTGGTAAAAAATACATATATGCATACATTTGGAATTAAAAATATTACTATTAATATTTATCTTTGAGTGGGGCATTATGGGTTATATTAATTTTCTTCGTGCTTTTCTATTTTCTGATTTCTTACCATGAATATGTATCATTTTCATAATTGGAAATAACTGATAGTAAAAGTTAACAAAACACAATAAAAAGAGGTATAACACAAAGACCCTTAAAAAGTTTGAAAGACATATAAGGTATTAGAAGACATAATCTAACTCTTAGTGTCCAGGAAACTAGTGTTCCAGAGAAGCGAGACACACTTTTGGAGGTTTTTATTTCATCATCTTTCATTCAAGTCACAAGGCCCAGGTGATCCCTTTGACAGCTGTTGAGTGAGGAGGTTCAAACGCAGCTGTGAGCCATTGCTCAGTGAGTGAGCTGCTCAAAGTCAGGTGCTCCACATAGGTGCTTCTCCCTTAACTGCTTTTTTCTGCCTCTAGTCTGCCCTCCTCAGCCACATCATTCCACAGACCAGGATCTGTTCTTGGAGTAAGGAATGACTGCTCCCTGAACACTTGTCTCTGCTGGGGCCGATTTATAAACCCCGCAGGTCTATTTCTTCCCCCCCTTGCTTTGAGATACTGTTAACTACAGCCTAATTGCTGCTGCTTCGTTCCGTCTTGGGTGTTCTGTTGTTGCCAGCCTTCCAGATTTCTCCTGAGGGTCAGCAAAGGAAGGGGCCATATTAACACTTGGCTGCCTTGTTACTAGGAGGCTTGGTAGCCATAGAAACTGTGGCTAACTGGAGATTTGAAATGTAGATATTGGGAACAGTCCCTAATCCCAGGCAGTTTTGCTTTGTGTCTGTTGAAGGACAGGGCCTTGGAGGGGAATAAAGAATGCCTCTCCCTCCTGGGCCTGCCCTGTGGAGTCTGTGCCTGGCTGCCTGCAGCTGAGCAAAGCTTTTCTGTGGGCTGCAAACCAGGTGGGGCCCAAAGTGTGGTAGGTGCTGGGTAACTGCTGACTTAAACAGTGGGTATGTGGAGCCCAAGTATAGGGATTGAATCCTCCCTAAACTCATCTGTGCCTGGGATCAGCTGGGAAACAGAAAAATACCCCTTCCCTATTCTCTGCCCTAGAAAGAAGCTCCAAAAGAATTTGCTTTTGAGCCACACACTAGCCTTCTCTTTATTTATTTTTTGAGACAGAGTCTTGCTCTGTTGTCCGGGCTAGAGTGTCGTGGCATCAGCCTAGCTCACAGCAACCTCAGACTCCTGGGCTCAAGTGATCCTCCTGCCTCAGCCTCCCAAGTAGCTGGGACTACAGTCATGCACCATGACGGCCAGCTGATTTTTTTCTATTTTTAATTGCCTGGCTAATTTCTATCTATATATATATATATTTTTTTTTTTTTTAGTAGGCGTGACCCTCTGGCCTTGACCTCCCAGAGTGCTAGGATTATAGGTGTGAGCCACTGCACTTCTGCTCTTCTTTTAAGGGGCAGATACCATGCACAGTAGATCTAGGAAAGGATACACAAGAAGGGTTGCCTTTTGTTTGTATTTTTGTTTTTTGTTTTTTGAGACAGAGTCTCGCTTTGATGCCCAGGCTAGAGTCAGTGCAGTGGCATCAGCCTAGCTCACAGCAACCTCAAACTCCTGGGCTCAAGCAATCCTGCTGCCTCAGCCTCCCGAGTAGCTGGGACTACAGGCATGCGTCACCATGCCCAGCTAATTTTTTTTTCTATATATATTAGTTGGCCAATTAATTTCTTTCTATTTCTAGTAGAGACGGGGTCTCGCTCTTGCTTAGGCTGGTTTCGAACTCCTGACCTCGAGCAATTCACCCGCCTCAGCCTCCCAGAGTGCTAGGATTATAGGCATGAGCCACTGCGCCCGGCCCTTTTCTTTGTATACCCTTTTGTATTTCTAAGTTTTGTGTCAAAAGGATATATTGCTTATTAAAGTTAATTTTAGCTAATTGCAATGGTGCATGACTATAGTCCTAGCTACTAATCAGGAGGCTGAGGCAGGAGGATCGCATGAACCCAAAGCTATAGTTTACTATGGTTGCACCTGTGAATAGCCACTGTACCTTCAGCCTGGGCAACATAGTGAGACCCCATCTCAAAAAAAATTTTAATGAAATAAAAATTAAAATAATAAAAGTTATGCCAAAAAAGGTAAAACAGTTCCCAAGCCTTGTATTTCTGGAATTTTTTTTTTTTAGTGTCCAGACACAGGCTGAGATGATCATTTTTAAAATTGAACCCAGCAGAACTATAGGAGAGTGGAACCCCCCAAATAATGCCTGTGTCAGCCCATCCTTCACACTAAGGGGAGAATCAGTCTTGATGCCTAGGTGTGATGTGGGCCTTTCTGTTTCTCAGTCCAGAGGGGGTAGTCGTTAATAAAATATGCACCTGCAGGAACTTACCATCCACCTACTCTGGGCTTCCCAGATTGACTGGTGCAGTGCTGTGGCAAGCAGGTATGCATGCCCATGTTGACTGAGTACTGGGCCTGCAGAGGTCTTGAGTGGGTAGAACAGATAGGGGCTTGCCTTGTGAGATACCATAGGGTTTTTTTTTAATGTTTCCCAGGCTAGAGTGAGTGCCGTGGCATGGCGTCAGCCTCCTATCATAGGTTTTGACAGTCTGAAGTTATGTCTGAGAAAAATTAATTGGAAAATAAGGTAAAAGTCTGCATTTGACACCATGTTTTTTTTTTTTTAGAACAGAGTCCTTGCTTTCTGCCCAGGCTAAGTGATCGTCGTCAGCCTACGCACAACCTCACACCCCTGGACTTAAGCAACCTCTGCCTAGCTTCCCCAGGTAGCTGGGACTACAGCTATCGACCCATGCCCGCTAATTTTTTCTATATGTTTTACGTGCCATATTCTTCTATTTTAGTAATTGTGGTCCGCTCTTGTTCAGGCTGGTCTCGACTCCACCTCTAGCCAATCTGCCACACCATAGCCTCCCAGATGCTAGATACAGCGAGCACACCATGTGGACCCTGTGCCTCACCTTTTAACACACTGAGGCAGCATCCAACCTCTCCCCTTTTTTGTGAGTTGAGGCTTCTTCTCTCGTTGTTGTGTGGTATCACTGGGGCCAGCCACACATGGAAAGAGTTTCTCCCATTTTCTAACAAGCTGATGTTTTCACAGTGACTAATTTCCATAAACCTGCCTATCCCTGTTTATGTAGCTCATCTGGGTCGAAATCAAGGAGAAGCGTGTATTGGAAATTGCCTTCCCAGTGCATGTAGTCTTGATTACTGTACTCACATAAAGATGTGCTCTACCTCCTTTGTTCTTTGCCATGTTACCAACAATATCTAAATCCATTCACGACATCCTTAAGTCCACCAGATGTATATGGAGTACTGCGCACCAAGAACCTCCATGCGTAGTTTCTAGCTGAATGGAAATCTGCCAGTATTGAGCCCTGTTTGCAGGACCTCCCAGTGAATGGCTTCCATGCCGAGGCACTAAAGAGAGTGGCACATAACAGAGATCAAGGATTTGTCCACCTGCCCTCCTCTGGAAGGTGATTGCTGGTAAAAACACAAAGCAGATGTT